AAGATCAGTAGAGCTATTTACCCGGCGGCTTAGAGGTCGGGCGTATCTTAAGGACCAAGGCCGTAAGGTGCAAGACCAAGACCACGTTTTCTATTGTATTTATAACAATCCCTTTTTGTTTGATTTCCATTCAAGTGGGSTAGACCGGGAAGATCACGAAATAAAACTAGATCGACCTCAAACTCGAGTCGATCTGTGTTTTGACTGGACTAATTGGCCACAGCAATATCTATAACCGCATTTGTTCAATCTGATCCCCGAAAAACGAAATGTTTGTTTTATAYKGCAAGTGAACTATTCAAAGAAGTTATTACATCTCACGCGAARAATTTTCAAGACAATCGAAAAAGTGTCAACAATTAWTGATATTTTCACTTTTTTGAGGGTGAAACCAAACCATGTCGATTCAGCTACSCAGATACCATCACGTCGTTTCTAAAATAGCCAATATTTACGACAATTAAAACAAGTCGTAAAAATGTTACTCGGTGAGTTACTGATATCAGATCTGATTGGATTACTTCAGCTATTTAAGTTTCCACGACGCGAGCCGATGAAAAACTAGCAAGTTCAGGAGTCAAGAACTAGCTCTGTGAGAGTCAAGGTATTAGAATACCTACAGTATTTTGTGACAATCACAGAAATTTGACAAACAAATTGAGCAATGCTTATTCCGTACTCGTATTKACTGCATTCTAATTAATGTTAACTTTAATAGTTGAAGGTTAATGAACGAAAAATATTTACATTACTGGAAAAGTGTTGGAGAGTTTGCACTTTCCACGTATATTGGACACGCAGTAAAACATTCGTCATTTCTAAGTCAGGTGTTTTCTGTGAACTAGTTCATTAATTGTTGGCTTGTTCATAGTTAATATTCCACATATCGTGGAGAGAGCTATTGCAGTGCTTCTTTACACATTAGCGTGATGTAAGAACTAAGCGCTCAATTGATGACAGCCGAAGACAGGAACTATCATACACGATCCACTGTATCGGAAAGTGCTCTCTGCTCGTGTATGACATAGATAACTAAACAATATTGACTACGTGGCGTAAACAAACTGATCGTGTTATGCCATGCTAGCAGTAATGCAGTGTGTATATAAACACAGAGGGAATTACAACACATTGAGAATGGATTAAAAAACGTTTTCATGCCGTGGAGAATAAAGTGCACCCATGGTGTTTAGAAACTCCCATAGCGTGATTACATCGCAATTCTACATCAAAGCATATTTGATACTTTTAAATAGATACTTGAGTTTAAGAGATTTATTCAATCAAATCAGGAATGCCTACTTCTTGGAATTTCCTTTGCCAAGTAGAAATATTCCTAAGGGTAATGACGATTAGCCCAACATAGCGAAACCTCCTGCTTCATTCGTGCCAGAAGGTGGTTGGTCTTGCCTGAGGCGATTACAGTAAATCACCAATATTGTATGATAGCCTTCATTAACAGAAAAAGCAATTTTAAGAAA